TGAAGTCTCATTCGTCATAATTTTGCGTTTGTTTACGTTTATAATCAGAGATGGAATGTACGGGAAAGAGATTGTGACAGAAATTTGAAATATTCGCGAGTTTAGTTTTGAGTAAAGTTGCAATCGTATGATTCTCTATTTGGTGTATTCAACAATAAATACTTTAAGGTACGCTATGTAACTTCTAGTAGAGGGTCAGCCACCTGCTTGTCTCCGTGGAGATGTTATCGCTTTGCCAGAAATGTCCCACAATATGGCAAAAAACAAAATAATATGCAGGGGTGCTTAAAAACATATTGAAAAGTACTGAATTCTTACAGTGAGTTGGGTCGCCTCTACACAGATCTGACCTGTATCTTGGCCTGATTACCTGCTTGTCTACATAGAAATGTTATCAATTTGCTTATGTTCCACAGTATAGCATTAAATTTATCTCTAATGTATTTATTAATTTACTTCTTTTTTTTCTTTTTTTTTTTTTTTATGTTCAGATAATACAAATACACAAAAAAGTACTGCAGTTTTACAGTGAGTTGGGTCGCCTCTACACAGATCTGACCTCTTGCTTGGCCTGCTTGTCTCCATGGAGATAGATAAGTTTAGTATCGCTGTGAAACATTTCAGGCAAAGCATCAACATCTCCATGCATAGTGTGTTGAGGAACCCTTCACCAGAAAAGTTACACAATGAACCTTTAAATAGTCTTAATCTGTATGTCCTAAGTTGTCTGCTTTGATTTTCAAGTAATTTAAAGCCTTTAACCCAAATATAGCTTAGATTTTTTCAATTTATTTGAATTTTAAACTAAACTGTACTTAAAAGCCATAATGGTATATTCATGGTATTTATATAAGAGTTGTAGAAATGTAAATTTTCCCTTTTTTAGATGTCTTGTCAAGATCTTAGTGTGAATAATTATGATCAGAATAGAAAGAATTTCAGTGCTAAATAACTGTTATTTTGTCAAGTTATTTTGTCATGTGTCTGAAATGGAAGGATCATGTTCTACTGTATGTAGTTCCCTCTGTTTTACTGTACTGTACTGTATATTTCTGTAGTACAATATGAGGATAGGGGGAGGGACATGTTCCAGTTTGTTCCTGTAAAATTCAGCATCACATTTATCAACTGTGTAAAGAGAAAACTATTTTCTAAAACCATATATATTTTTTTTGTAGAAGCAAGTCTTCTCAAGTCACCAACCTCAAGTCCCAAGTCATTGAGCTTCAAGTCCAAGTCTTATCCCAGGTCTTAGTCAGTTTTTATCAAGTCAAGCCTCAAGTCCTAAAGATAGTGACTCAAGTCTGACTTGAGTCCAAGTCCCGGCTTGCAAGTCCCCTCCTCTGGTATGTGACCATATAGACAGAGATCTTGTCCAGATATATTTAAGATAGACTTACTTCATACTGGTTAAATAAAATGAAGATTGAATCAAAAACAGAAGAAAAAAATGCAACAAATACCAACAAATCTCTATAATTTTACGGTATGACTATTAAAAAGACCAAACAAACATCTGCAGTTTTAGGAGCTTAACGTTTCTGTTGCAATTGTGTAATGGCTACTACCTTTCCTCAACAAATATATAACCAGAATCCCCTGCATCTACCTTCAAATACACCAAGAGGTTTGCCATAACTGAGTACCTTATTTGTATTCACATTTTCTGGTTTTCTAACTTTTTGGACTACATTTTGTTTTCGGAGCATCCACAACGAAATGGGCTCCAGTTTAATTATTATAAACCATGTCAACAAGTTGGCGAGACATTGTTCTGCGTCTACACGAGCGAGTCTGTGAATTGCTTGTGCTCCATTGTGTTGGAAGGTGAGGGGAAGGGACACTCGGTCTGGAGTGGGGTTTGGACGGAGAGTCGAGGAGAGGGGACGACTTGGCTGCCGTTGTTGGAGTGGTTTTTTGACAAAGGGGACATGCTGCTCTGCTATGGACTTTCGAGCTTTTAGCCAGGGAGCAGCTTTGAATTCACACAAAATCAGATTCAGTTAAAGCTACACTATGTAACTTTTCTGTCAGCTGTACGTCTCTATGGAGATTTCATTGCTTCGCCTGGAATGTTCTAGTCTGATTCATCAGCCGGTTCCACTTCGTAGAAACCGTCCGACCTCGCAGCAGTAGGATTCGTTCGCTCAACAGTAGGCGGGTACTTTTTTTATTTAACCAATCGCTGCTATTTGGTTGCGACTTATGTAATGCGCCGCTAACGGGGCTAACTGGTATATTAAGCTTTTCCCAAATGTAAGAAGAATAATGTCCTTCACCTTGATCAAATTCACCAAACATTCTCTTTATTCCAGCTTTAAATCCTCGATCTCGGGAATCGTTGACAACACTGAATATATGACTCTTTGCTGATTGGCTGGTGCCCAAACTCGCACTTCTGGGGTTTTTGCGAACCATTTAGTGTATTCTGATTCCTGACCTAGTCACTGGATAGAAATTAAATTGAGCGGAGGCACTAGGTGGCGCCAGCCTGGCTCGGAATGTTCCACAGTAGGACATTAATCACTTGTATGTAGTATTTACTCAATTGCATGTGTTTTTATTGCTAAAACAAAACAAAACAACAAAAATATTGAACTGATCTGACGTGTAACTTGACAAGTTTACACAATCCAATTTGTTTATCTTCTGAATGGACAAAAATACATGGATATAATAAGGGATGTCAAGGTTCATTTAAGGCCATAAAAATGTCATATAAGAATTAAATAATAATGATTGTCAGCATTTTAGAAACACTGTTGTTATTGTCGTTGTTGTTGTTGTTGTTGTTGGAGCAAATTGTGTCCATGAATTCAAAAGTTAGGAGTAAGTGGTAGTAGTGTGTAGTAGCGGTGTACTTGGGTGTTGGGAAGTAGTAGTAGTGGTACTAGCAGTATTAGTTGCTCTTGTTTGTGTAGTAGTATTATATGTTGTGTTGTTATAATTGTACTAGTAGTAGCAGTATTAGATGTAGTAATGTTGTAGTAGCAGCAGTAGTAATAGCAGCAGCAGCAGTAGTAGTAGTAGTAGTAGTACACAGTAATATTGAAACTAATTTCTGCCACTCACACAATAACCCTAAAGTCAGATTATCCCCCAAAACTACTCTATATGTTAATATGCTTTAAAAAAGGAAGAAAAAGAAAAACGAAACATGAGCTGCAATAAATAAAAAGCAGAATGATAGTTGTTATTTATTCAACCCTCTACAGCTCAATACCAAAAAGTTCCTCACTACTACAAGAAAAAGTACACACGATAAAGACTGGCCCAAAAAATATGGTTTCATCTGTTTCATCTATTTTGAATCATATGTTGATAAAGTATCATGGCAAATACATTACATTTACATTACATAACTGGAAATGGCTGTACAGATTTACCAATCACTAATGACTGAGGTCACTTTAAAGCTGCATTGTGTAACTTCTCTGGTAGAGGGTCTGTCAAATGTGAAGATGTGTTTGCTTTGTCTGGGATTTTTCACAGTGTAGTATTAAACTTTATTGTCTGTGGAGAAGTCTGAATGTCCATTTTTCTCAGTATGTTTGAGCTACAAAACCACCTGTAATTGGATAAATGTCAGGTAGAACTGTTTAAAGTCATACTGTGGAACATTCCAGGCTGACTCAATGACTTTTCTATCATGGTTCATGCGCTGTAGTCGTTGTTTTTGCTTATTTTGCTGTATCTTTTCTTTAATATTGTGTGCCCTTTTATTTTGATATTTTCCTGTCTGCTTGTAGTTTTGAGTTTTACTTCCTGTCTTGATCGTTTGCCCCGCCCTCACGTGTTTCACCTCTGCCCTTTGTTGGTCCATTGTCTTTGCCATTGTCTGTGTCTTTGTCTGTGTCTTGTCCTGGCGTGGCAGTTTGGTTTCAGCTTTTAGATTTTTGGGATTTATGGATTTTTTTGGGGATCTTTTTTTGGTTGTTGTTACGGCCCCAGGCCTTAGTTGTAATATTTCTGCAGAGTTCTCTTGATTCTGCTGCACGAGCCCTGGTCTGTGATTGGTGCAAATGCCCACCTCACCTGCAGCCACCCCCTATTTAAGGAGTGCAGCACCTGTTCGGGCTGCTGGCCTTGGTGGCCAGGCATTTTGGTTTTGTGTTTGTGTGTTAGTCTGTTCTGCTTTGCTTTTTGATTTGGTCACTCGATTCTGTTTGTGGGTTTATGTGGTTTAATTTGGGGCTTGTGTTTTAGTTTAGTGTGTTTCCCTAAGTTTTACCACTCGTTTTTGTTTAAGCCTGCGTGACCCCTTTTCTGGCACAAAACTCTTTATTCTGTTGTTCTGTTTCTTAGTTTAGGTTGTTTTCTGTATATTTTTTGTTTTGTTAATTTACCTTTACATTCCTGTTAATTAAACATTACTTAATTTATTCCATTTTACATCTTGGTTTTATTATTTGTTACTTCCCTCACCCCAAACGAGCTGGGTCGTAACAGTTGTTATTAAAGAACTTTAAAGCAGTTCTGCATTTTGGGTCCTCTCTTTGTTTCCACGCGACATTTTCCAAACAAACAAGCAGATGACGGACCTCCAACCAAAAAGTTACATAGAGCACATTTAAAATAACTTGAAATACAGCCCTATTTTGCAAAAGTAACATCCTTATTGTCATATAAAGTCACATTTTCCAACCATTATTGAACCACCATCGTTCATAGTGTTGATTGTAATGGAAGACAATAAATAATACACATATATAGTGCTGTTAAACACTTTCAATTATCCTATACTAACCATTTTTTGTCGTGTGGGATTGTTTCCTACGTCTTAGATATAAATACTGTCACCAACAGCCAACAGTCAAACTACTAAATCTTTTACAACTGTCGATATCACTGCAGCTCTTCAGTTTTCTCCTTTTTAATGAGTTGGTGGAGACGTTACAAGCCCGTGTCGAAGATAAACTCCTCTCCATATGGCGCTAGACGTTACCAGCACACTTTGCAAGCTCTTGTCGATAACAGCGAGATATAAGATCGTATCCTACCTTCCGGATGCCCTCCCTGGACTCCTCCACGTTGTTATCAGCTCCCCCGGTTCGGTTGATCATGCGCCACATCTGAGCGTACATGGGGTCTCTCTCAAAGGGGTTCATGGCTTTGGAGCGGACCTGGTCGTACACGGCCGAGTCCAGGACTGTCCCGTAAGGAAGCTCCGTCTGTTTGGAGAGGTCCTGCAGAGACCTGGGGAGAAGAAGAGGAGGAGAGGGAAGAAATATAGTAAGAACATGAGCTTGTTTTGGTGAAATGCAGGCTACTCTGTCGTCAAATGTGAGAATTAAACATCTTGTCTGTGCAAAGCATATGTGGAGTGGCATACTGTTTCATTTATTCATTACATGTGCTTATACTTTGCAGTGACATCATTTTGTGGGTGTTCTGCGTGTGTGTCTATGGCAGAATATTCATTAGTATCAATGGTGACACAGCAAACACTGAAAAAAAAAAAAAAAAAGGTCAGATTGAGATGGACTTCAGATCACTCACTGTAGTCCCTAAATCAGTTCTTTATGGTCAGATTGTGCTAAATTAAAGATCAGATTAAAATCTAATTTAAGTAACAGAGCTTCAGACAGAGAAGTGCCTACGGTTAGCATCACACCCCCAGAAGAGTGCCAGGAGTCGCTTTTCCATACTGATTATGTTATACTTTACCATGGACATCCAAAAGGTAAATTCATATGTTGAACCTGATCACGTTTGTTAGTGACCAGATGTAAGAATTTGCTTAGAACAAAAGTCTACATTCAACAATATTCATTTTAGCTGCATTTATCTGTATTCAATATAACTGGTATAAGTATATACAGTAGACTGTTATGATGTCGTCTGAAAACCGCTGTCACCTGGTCATTAGGTTGAGTTCATCACAACATTCTAGCATCTCTATCAAAAGCTGGCACAAAGTTCAGCATATTCTGTGTCTGCAATAATGAACAAGAGTGAAATTCTTTTCGAGTAATAGCTTCACAAAGTGGTGCCATTATTCAACCACAAATGTGGTTGTTGTCAGTTCTGGAACAGCGGCGAGTGGAGCCAGTCTCATAAGATTCAGCATTAGTGGATCAGGATTAGTTTAGTTATTTCTTTGGAAAAACAGTGAATCTCTCATAGTTATATAGACCTCTATCTGAAATTATGACACATTCTGACCTTATTGCTCATATAGTTTGGTCCTGTGCTGCTCACTTGAGCAGTGATGGTTCAACTCCAGGCATCGGCTCTTTCCCCCTTTCATGTTGAAGCTCTCATATCAAATAAAGTGTTTTGGCAAAGTGAACATGTGCAAATAAACAGATACATGCGTAGTCCCACCAGATCATAAAAGAACTGGCATTACACCAGCCCTGCCCTCACCAGACTCTATCTTATTTTCCTGAAGACCATTCATGGTGGTCTATTCCAGCCTGTGCAGAGCACAAAATGAAATGAAAATGACAACCTGGCCTTTTAATCTCATTAATTTCACATAAACAGGAACAAAGCCCCTCTCCAGTTCATAATATCAGTCATATTTCAGCTGCTCACTGTGGCACTGGCTCCCATTGGAAACACTTTGGACAGAGACCACTGCACTGACAGCCAGCTGCGCTACAGCTCAGTCCCTGAACAAACCAATGATTTGCATCTCTCCGAAGAGCCAATGAGAGACATAATTGACATGCTATTAAAATATTAAAAAGGGAATTGGCAATAAGCCACTAATGGCAGAAAAATACTAAGTCATTTACTCTGAATCATCAGAGCTATCGGAGCCAGTTTGTTCCAAGGCGATTAAAAAGCTAATCACTGGATGATTATTCTCATAAAATCAAGTAAAAAAAATGAGTTAGAATGTCAATATTTTTATAGATTTTTCACTTTTTAAATTGTTTTTCAAATTGGAATTGAAAGGCCCGCTATGCAAAGCCTGAAACGCTCCTAATGTAACCATCCATCTTACTGAATGCTCTTACATAACTCTGGTGAGATTCAAATTAGATTGGTAGTTCCATTTTAGCTACGAGCAGCACACACTTTTCATATGTCCTTGGGCAATACACTTAACCCATATTGCCTATGAGAATATGTGAGTGTAATTTTGCTGGGGCTGCACATTAATGAAATTCTTTCTCATGTTTTCAGTAGCAATACTTTTGTTTGTTCTTTTTTTATGACAAAATTACACTGTTTTCTGATCTATGTTATAATGTTGTTTTCTCATCAAAATCATATCTGGAGTTGTGATTTGAGCATTTTGAGTTTTGGAGGTGTAGACAGACTAATAATACAGGATTTTTGTGTTAAACAAAAGAAACTAAACACAGCTCCAGGCAGTGTTGGGAGTAACATGTTATAAAAGTAACACATTACTGTAATGCATTGCTTTTTGCTGTAACACAGTAATGTAAGGCCTTACAGGGGAAAAATGTCAGTAACACACGTCACAATGCATTGTTAACCTGGACTGAAGTGGTGGGTTTTTCGTTTTTCTTCATACAAATTTGCTAAAATCACCGCGATATCAGCAGCGGTGAAATGCCATCGTTATGGTTCCGAATGTCAGGTGCACCTGTGTAGACATCGGGTAAACATGGGCGAAAGTACCGAATGTCAGGGGTAACTGCAGTGACACCCACGTGCTGTGTAGACACCCTGCTCCACGGGCTCGGGGTTCTCTCAGGGGCAGTCTTAGATTCCAAGTCCTAGTCCAAGTCCTAGTCCAAGATTAGTCCTGGTTTAGTCTTGGTTTAGACCTGCTTTAGACCTGCTTCAGACCTGTTTCAGTCCTGGTTCAGCCCTGGTTTAGTCTTCCTGGTTCATTTCTGGTTTAGTCCTAGTTTAGTCCTTTTTCAGACCTGGTTCAGTCTTGGTTTAGTCCTGGTTTAGTCCTGGTTTAGACCTGGTTCAGACCTGGTTCAGTCCTTGTTTAATCCTAGTTCAGTTCTGGTTTAGACCTGGTTCAGTCCTGGTTTAGTCCTCCTGGTTCAGTCCTGGTTTAGACCTGGTTTAGTCCTGGTTCAGTTCTGGTTTAGACCTGGTTCAGTCCTGGTTTAGTCCTCCTGGTTCAGTCCTGGTTTAGACCTGGTTTAGTCCTGGTTTCAGTTCTGGTTCAGTTCTGGTTTAGACCTGGTTCAGTCCTGGTTTAGTCCTCCTGGTTCAGTTCTGGTTTAAGACCTGGTTCAGTTCTGGTTTAGTTTAGTCCTGGTTCAGTTCTGGACCTGGTTCAGTCCTGGTTTAGTCCTGGTTTATTTCTTGTTTAGTCCTTGTTTAATCCTAGGTTTACCTGGTTTCTGGTTTAGTTTCTGGTTTAGACCTGGTTTAGACCTGGTTCAGTCCTGGTTTAGTCCTCCTGGTTCAGTTCTGGTTTAATCCTGGTTTAGTCCTGGTTCAGTCCATATACGGCACAGAAACTTAAAAGTACTGCAGTTGTCATGTAATCTTTTACATTTTAAACACAGTAATACTGTAATGTAACAAATTACTTTGAAATGACAGTAACAAATAATAAATAAATAAATAAATAAATAACACATTACAGTATTGAAGTAAGTTGCCCAACAGCTCCAGGATTGTTGACTTAAAGCTCCTGAGAATCAAATTGATGCAATCTGGGACCTTTTAAAGGACAATGGCCAGAACTCAATATTGAATACCGTATTGAAGTTGTGATCATTATTGTATTGAGTATATGCTAACACACCGCAGCAGCCGTATGTATTCTGCAGCAGTCTTTCCCCCTCTGCACCACTGGGGGATTTCACGCACTATTGTTAATTACAATGGCACCGCGCTTTGCTAGCTTCTCAACAGTTTGGCCTCTGAGAAATGTAATGGAGGACTATTATGGCAAACTAATTACTGTTTGCTTGTTAAGCGCCTGCTCCATGCCACCCATGGATTTGAGAGACACATTTTCTCAAATAAAACATGGCATCGAAAATACACAACACATGCTTTGCTTCTTCTAGCCAGATTAATTACATGTAATAGAGCAGTTGTAACCAGCGACAAATTAGGTTCATTCATAATTTTAACCAAAGAAGCCTTCCTCCTGTGTTCTGTTGTAAACCAGGTCCATATCACGCTGTTTTCTGATCTATTTTATCTATTTTCTCATTAAAAAACATATCTAGAGTTTCATTCACACATGTTTGACACACAAACCTCTGAAATTTGGATAATTTCAGCTGAAGAATTGCCACTAAACTAAAGGTAAACGGTAGCTGTTCACTAGTATTTTGAGCTGATATTATGGAGATGTAGAAAGACTAATGATAAAGAGATACTCAAACATGTGTGAATCAAAGAAAATTCAACTCCAGGTATGTTTTTAATGAGGTAACAACATTATAACGTGGATTAAAGCTCAGAAGAATCTATAGGCCAGTGGTCTTCAACCTTTTTTCTCCGGTGAGCTACCTGCACAAAATGAAAATGCCAGAGAGCTACTAATCAAGAAATTGAGTATATATAAGAGCCATGGCAAGCCTTAGATGCCTATAAAACATAAACCATTATCCATTTATTACTGTACAAAGTTAGGACTCAAAATGATACATGTGAAGTAGAAAAGTGCGTTTAATTATCGGTAATCAGATTTTACTTATTACTCATTACTTAATTCAGACTATTTGGAAGGGGGTGGAGTGTTGCCAGTAGCTTCCGAGCTAAAGGTTGGAGACCCCTGCAACAGGCTCTATTCACGTTTACGTCACAAACCAGGAAGACGTTTGGAAAGACGCAATTACAACTCCCGGTGTATGAAAATCTCCCAGTCGTCCAGGTAGAATCCAAAATTCAAATTCAACTTGTCAACTGGACATAAGTTTATTTTATCAAATATGTTTCACAGCTCATCCAAGCTACTTCTTCAGTTCAATGAACAAACTTTTCGTCCAGTTGACAAATTTAATTTCTCCTTTTGCCAACTTCCAGTGTAGTTACCGACAATGGGCTCGCCTAACATGGATCTATTAAAACCGACAGTGATAAAACCCACTGAAGTAAATGTGATCTGCAGTAAAAATGAAGTCTGCATACGAATGTGCTGTGTGGAATCATCTTGAATGTGGCGCCTCATCTCTTCTAATCACATGTACCCAGTGCACTCGGAGTCGTGTGTCAGTGGGGAAATGATGAAAACTGAGATATGTTTGTAATAGTTGATTAGTCGAACTTAACAGAACGCTATAATGACATGG